TTGCAATTGATATTGAATTGTACAATAATATAGTGTAATGAATGAATGTCGCTATAAAACAGTTGCAAGACATTGATATGAAAACAATTGCATAACTGTTGATGGGGTAAGCTGAATAGAGAGAGAGAGAGAGAGAGAGAGTTAGAGCGAGGGGCTGCTAGCTGACTAGATTAGTTTATATTTGAATAGTGTAACTAGATAAAAGACAAGATAAAATATCATCAATAGCTTAGCTATCGCTCATCATCCAATCAATCAATCAATGATGACAAGATTATGCTAAGAGTAATATATCACGTCGAGATCATAATCAGCTCAGCTGAAAATCTCACATCTACTGTTAATTATCACTACATCATAATCAGCTAACGAGATCATGTCTAAATTTAAATCATATCATAAATTTAAAATTTTTTATTCAATGGCTTTTACTGCCAGCTCGAAGTTTACTTCCTTCCGCCTCAGCTGATAATTATGTGTGAGCCGCTCATGGAAAATTCATTTGCATTTCTTTGAAACGCCCACTCTACTCCCTCTCCCCGCCCGCTCTCTGTGCGCCTGCGCTCTTGGCCAATGTCAAGTTCAAGCCATTTCCGTCAGCACCAAATATTGCAATGGGATTTACGTTGAGCAGAGCCAGCAGAACTTGATAGCTCTTAATAGAAACTGAAATCTTACAAATCATGCGGTTCACAAAGTTCCGGCTGCTGTCCGTTGTTGTTGTTGTTGTTGTTGCTTTTATGGTCTTTAAGCTGGGTCCATTGTTAGACAATGTGAAATGAAAATTCCCCAAGTGCCAAAGCGGCAAGCGCCGGGTGGGAGTGCTGTCAGCTATGAATCTCTTTAATTATCGTAGCACCAAATCGAATCGTAGCACACACCCAGCATAACTAAAGCCCAGCAAACAGCGCACAAATTAGATAAAAATTACTTAATCCAACTGCTAACTGCGTATGAGCATTAAGACTTAATGACCTGACAGACAGAGAGCCAGCGCCCAGAACCTCTAGATTTGAGAAAATATAATTAATTTCGATTCGCCATCCGACGTGCGATAAAACCTTGAACTACGTTGTTGTTTTTTCTACCATTTATTAGAACGTTCACAACTGGAGTTACTTTCGCTTTTTTTGATTACCATAACATAACAGGGGAAACAAGCGCTTGAATCATATTCGTAATTCTTATGAAATACTACGCCACATGTACTGGACCCATCCGAAAGGAAAGGCAAATGACATAACTGGGGGCATTCACGCATTGTCTTCATTATTTCTTTGCTGAATTAACTGGAGCATTGTGGCTAATTAGTTCAAGAAAAAAAAAAAAAAGTTGCTCTCTCTCTAAACAACAGATCTCAACGCTCACCCTATGAAAGCTTAATCACAGCTTAACAAACTTGTTGACTGTTGATAATTAAAATGTTAAACTAACTATTAAAATGTTATCTGCTTGGCATTCAAATATTGGCTTTAACTGTTAAGGCTGTTAAGAATTAACATTACTGTTAGCAGCTATGTTTAAAGTGTTTACATTTCTATGTTAACATTAGTATTTAGACATATGTTAACATTTAGATTTTCCCAATATAAATCCCAAACGTAACCAGGTTACTCAATTGCCTCAGAGTTTTGAGAAAGTTGAGGTTAAAGTTGAGGTTAAAGACAATAACGAAACTTTGGAGACAACATTTATAACAACATAAAAGTGAGTGGAAGGTGTTATAAGGGCTCGATTAAAGCTTGTGCCTGTAGCTTTATATACATGCTAAGTATTACTAGCTAAAAGACGTGGAAGTATTTTTTTTTTCTAGAGAAATATTACATATGAACTAAAAACAAAGAAGTTTACTTTTGACATGATTAAAGGTTTAAATAAATGACCAGAGTAAAGCTGAGAAATCTAAAAAATGAGTAGAGCCACATGCCAATTTTTAATGATTTACATAAATTAAAAAAAATATATATATTAATATCTATTAGGTATTTGTTCAGGTATAGAGTCACTTGCCAATTTTTAATGAGTTACATAAGTTTAATAACATATAAAAACTTCTTAGATAATTTGCAGCCCTTCACATATTTAGTAAGAGTATAAAATCTTCGGCTTAGTTGCACAACAATTGTTTATGTACATATGTATTTATAGTTCCTTTGTTATTATGACCATAATTTCGAGTTGAACCTGACCGTCGCGTCGAGGCACCTAAGCGAACCGCAAGCGCAAGCGCAGTCACAATTACAGTGACAATCACAGTCACAGTCACAGTCACAGTGCCACTCGCCAGTCCCTGTCCCTGTCCCTGTCCGTGTCTCTGACTCTGTCTCTGTGTCTGTCGCAGCTGTGCGACAATCAACAACAACTTCCTCATGTAAACAAGCCACCGTTTAGGCCCGTCCGCGAGCAGCTGCCACAATCGCAAAGTTGGCCACTTGCACTGGTGAAATTTGATTTCGTTTTGTTTTACTCGTGCGACTCTTTTATGAGCGAGCGCAAATGCGATTAAATTTGTTGTTAAGTTTTTGGCACTCGCATTGAAAATTCAAATAATAACGCTGACTAAGCAGCAGCAGCAGCAGCAGCAGTAGGTAGTGCGCGTGTAGATTTATTAATTATGCATGATAATTGAGGCAAAGGGAAAGAAAAATGACGACTACAACCAGCTGGGAACTATTTTGATTGGCTGCAATTATAATTTGCTGCGACTCACTCAATGTGCATGCGGGCTAACAACTTTTATTTGAAGACAAATACATATACACATGTGTGTGTGTGTGTGTGTGTGTGTGTGTGTGTGTGTGTGTGTGTGTGT